TTCAATGGGCCCCACAAAAGCTTTGCTGTGTTCATGTACGCTGACGTACACGGTCCCTCACAGACAAGCTTGGTAAGGCTTGTGTTCGCAGGTGATACAACAGCTTTGGAAGGAGGCATGAGTGGAAGTATTCGTTACCGCACTGCGTGTGCCATTTAGGCGCCTGGGAGCGTGATGATAATAAAATGATGAGTGGTGGGGCAGAGGATGATTCGAGGATGATTCCGATGATGATTTGATGATGACAGAAACGAAGATAATATGATATATTATTTATTTAACTAAATCCAGTGTGTAGCCGGCTAAGATTCTTATAAGTTTAGGGTTTAGCGTCCTTCAAGGGATTACGAGGTTTAGGGTTTGCAGGGTTCCTTAAGGGGTTCATTGCAAGGTTCCCAGCAACTCAAGGGTTCAGGCTTCAGAGTTTAGGCGGGACGGGCTTTCGAGATGTCATTCGTGGTTTGGGGTTTAGGGTAGGGGTAGGGCTTCTGAAGTATACCCTCACCCTCCAGGTACCTACTCTATAGAGGGTAATGTAGCGGCCTTAGTATTTAGAATAGGGTTTTGGGGGGCTCCTTATTATAGTTGTAGTAAAAATATACCCCAAACCCTATGCTAATTATTAAGGCCCCTATATTACTAGAGCCCCTAGGGCCGTATGTTGTAGGTACCGGGAGGGAGCCTCAGGCTTCAGGGATTCAGTGGCCGTGGAGTATGGCGCATGCAGGCTATGCTCTACTTGTAGGCTCATAAACCCTAAACCCCTTTTTTGAGAATACCTACCTGTCTATATAACAGATCCTCATCATAAAGCTAGGTACCCTAGAAAAGGGGGTAGGGCATGAGCCTCTAGGTATGATTGAAAAGGCTTCGGCTGAGGAAGAATTTAGGGTGGGAGGCGGCTGTCCCTTCTTAGGTCCCCAAAACAGTACGGCACCCAAACAAGAAGGGCCCTGAGAGGCATTAACCCAGATAACCCTAAGACCCACACGTCAAAACCCTAAACACATAAAACCCTTAACAAAAACCCTTGAACCGCTAATTCCTAAACTCTTACACACTAAATCCTTAAAGCTCTAAAACCTAGGCCCCAAACCCTTAAGCTCTAAACCCTAAAGTTTTCAAAACCACAAAACCTCTACCCTAAACCATGCACCTTTAAATTCCAGAAATTCTAGCCAACAGCCTAATCCCCAAACCTGATACCCTCAAATTCACACCCCTAAACCCTAAACCCTAAACCAAAACCCAAACTGGCCTTGCCAAACAAGTCATCTGCGCCAATGTGCCTTGCCGCTTCACGGCTCGACTTGGCCGCTTTTGTAGTGCTATAGCGCTTAGGGCTATAGGTTTCGGGTAGATTTGGGTTTAGGGGTTTAGGATTTGGTAGTTATGGGCTATGCTTTAGGGGTCTAGGGTTCAGGATTTAGAGTGCGAATGACATTTTGCAAAGGGCTTTGCAGGGGTCTTTCTACCGGAAGTCCTATTCATGTTGGCCGAAACACTTGCTACGCATATTCTCTCCTTATACCTTATAGCCCTTCCCGTATTCCAGCTAGACCTTGAACTACCAAATCCTACTGTTGCTGTAGGGTTCCCATAGATTCCATATCAGGGCTCATTATAAGAGCCTACACAAAACTCGTCGGTGATGGTAGTATAAGGTAACGTTATAATATACCCCCTATAGCTATACCCTAAACCCTAAAACCCCCAAACCCTACTCTGTACTTTGAAGGGCCCTATATGGGACTTCATCCGAAACCCTCACCCCGTCAAACCCTAAACCTACACTACACCTACTGTAGGGGCCTTAATTGTTAGAATAAGGCTTCGGGGGGAATATTGGACTCTGACTATACGGGGCTAATCCTACTAATCATGCCGACCTCGATGCTAAACACTAAGTTGCTCCAAGCAGTCTGTCTAGACCCAGCATCTCAAGACGTCGAATGGGGTCTGGGAGAGGGGGGTATGCTAGAGTAGAACTCCACCAAGGAACCCTCAATACTAGTATTGGATAGTATTGGCACATATTCGGCGACCCCTGTACCAACCCTAGGCTCCATGTGCCCAAGTAGTATGTACTTTGGCCCTAAAGTAGTGCCTATATAGCAACTTTGGGGCCAAAATATAGACGATTTGGGCACATGGACCATTGGGGTAGCTCAACTACCACCCGAAACCCCAAGCCATGCCTCCTAAACCGAACCGAGGGGCCATCCAGAAGGCACACACGCCAAAATTCGGATAGGGACATCCCATATAACTCCCCTTATCTATATATATATATATATATCTTGCATTAAATCCGGGGTCTACTTCCCTGGGGTTTAGTTCCTGGGAGAGTTATGAATATAACGAAGCCGAGGTCCTGGTAACCTCGTTCATGTCCTCTCGGTGGCCCCAATAAATCCGGCCTCTGTTGCGACGGCGCCATCTTCGGCCGCGGCGGCCAACCTCACTGGGAAGCAAAGCGGGCTCTGAAATGTTCTTCTCGGGTTTAGGCTTAATTTGGAGTTTCGGTTTTTAGATATGTTTATGGGGTTTGGGCATAGATTGGGGTTTCTGCTGTTAAGGGTTCGGTATTCGATTAGCAAACGGGCTTTGAGCCCATGTAGATCCCTTCAAGGAGCCCTTGAAGGGACCTGCCAAAAAAACCCAAGCCCGTCACGGCTCAACTCCCTCGGGTACCCGGCGGGTCGTAAGAGGCACGCGTCCTTCTCCTTGGAACAGCACCTGCTGCTGATTAGGATTCGGGGTTTAGGGGCTTCTCCTTGGAACAACACCGTTGAGTCTTGCGACCGATATGGTCAATGGCTTCCAGGCTTGAACGCATCTTGTGTCTTCTCAGACTCTTCCACGGCCAATGCCGCGACGCGGCGCCTCTGGCCGTCAGTTTCACGAAGTTCAATCTATCTTCCGTTCCTATTGGGCCACTGCTACTAGATAGGGTTGATTCACTCCAGCTTCTACTCGTCTCACTCGAACATCCCCGAAGCCCCTACCGTTAGTGGTCAATGTAAGGGCTTCAATTACTAGGTCAGGCCTCGATTGAACTTGCACTACAACTATGTATAGGTATACATACAGGGACTATGACAGTCTCTATGAGTATGAAATACGATCCCAATTACTCCTAAATTTAACCCTGACAAACCCACATAAGCCGCTACAAGCCCTCAGAGGAACCCCGAAGGAACAACTGCCACTGCGGTGGGACGAAAGTTTGACCTGTACATTTTTCGGCCCCATTCCCCCATAAAATCCTAACAAAGAGGACCCACACGGCACTCCTCCGAAAAATTAAAAAGTATACCTTTAAAACGGGGTATAAAACTCTCCGCTGGCCAGGCCACGTAATTCGCACTTGCCACTACTGTGCTACTCCGCACGATGTCTGAAGACAAGAGAAGCCCAGTACGTCACAGCTTTTGTCGTTCCGATGTATTGTCACTATAGATGTTCAAACCTCTATGCCCGAAAACCTGACCGCCTCAACCTAACTAAACCCGAAAGCCCTTACAGGAACCCTTTATAGGAACCATTACCGGAAGCCTAAACGGAACCTTTTAAAGGAACTCACAGAATTCGGGCGCCTTGCCTCGCTGCCTTCGGAAGATGGACTGCGAGCTAGGACCTGCCCGAAACCCAAAGGGTCCAACCTAAAGCGCCTAAAGCGGTTTTGGGTTCTTCCAGGGGTGGGGTTTGAGGTTTATGGTTTGTAGGCTTAGGGGTTATACTCTCCCAAACGGTTAAGAGTAAGATAAATGCTTTTAGGGTTCAGGATTTACTACTACTAAACCCAAGTGCCCTTTGAACCCTTGAAACAAACGGAAAGAAGGGGAAGGCACGGAAACCCCCACACAAACCGCTGAGCGAATGTGCTTTTTGGGGGTACCGGCTCGGGGTATACGATTCTAGGCATGCTGGCAGCATTAGCAGCATAGCATATACAACACTCACGTATCCATTCCGAATTCCGACACGAAGCTCAGACATACCCCGGCGATGACTGACCGAAGAAGGGAAATATCTGACAGTTTTGCATCGCTCCACAGATCCTAAACCCTAAACCCTTTTGAAAGCAAATCTCTGGAACCTCATGCCGTGCAACATCGACACCTTGGTTCCCGAAGAAATTCTGCTCGATGAGCGGTTTAGAGGTTAATTTCAAGATTCAGGGAAGCACGAGCCCCATTCTCTGTCGAACTTGGTCAGCAGCTCTCGCCACTCCGGTCCATGAACTGGACTCATAGTCCAACGCTTTGGGACGACGGTTTAGGGTTTGGGGCTTGGGGTTTGGGGTGTAGGGTTTAGGAATTAGGGTTTGCTCTGAGGACTCATATTCAAACTGGAAGCCCAGAACCCATACTGTGCAGAGTTTTCGGGCTAGGGAGATCTATCCCCAATACCAAACTCTAAACCCTGAATCCTAAA